TAATCCAGCCTAGAAGTAACAAATGCATGGACTAGTTTTTTATCATCTTTAGACAGGATGTTCCTGATTTTTGCAATATTACGTAGGTGAAAAAAGGCGGTCCTTGAAATTTGCTTAATGTGAGATTTAAACGACATGTCCTGATCAAAGATAACTCCAAGATTCCTCACAGTGGTGCTGGAGGCCAGGGCGATGCCATCAAGGGAAACTTTATCTTTAGATAATGTGTCACGGAGGTGCTTAGGCCCCAGAACAATAACTTCAATTTTATCTGAGTTTAACATTAGAAAATTACAGGTCATCCAGGTTTTAACATCCTGAAGGCACATTTGAAGTTTAGCTAACTGATGAGTTTCATCTGGTTTGATCGATAGATATAACTGAGTATCATCTGCATAACAATGAAAGCTTATGGAATATTTCCTGATAATATTGCCTAAAGGAAGCATATATAAAGTGAACAGGATTGGTCCGAGGACAGATCCTTGTGGAAAGTCACACAACTGTTTCGCAACTGCATTCTCCAGAACCTTAGAGAGAAATGGAAGGTTAGATATAGGTCTATAGTTGGCTAAAACATCCGGATCAAGTTTGGGATTTTTCAGAAGAGGTTTAATTACAGCTGTGGTAAGTACTGTGGTACATAGCCTGTTGATAAAGATAGATTGATCATATCTAGTATAGAAGTGCTGACTAAGGGTAGAACATCTTTAAGCAGCCTAGTCGGGATGGGGTCTAAGAGGCAGGTTGAGGGTTTAGATGAAGTTGAAGTTAGTTGGTAAAAATTGAGGGAAGCAAAACAGTCTAAACATATATCTGGTTCTACAGCTGTTTCTAAGGTTCCTGGGTTTAGAGATAAGTTGGTGCCAGTTGAGGGCAGGTCTTGGTGAATTTTGTCTCTAATAGCTAGAATTTTATCATTAAAGAAGCTCATGAAGTCGTAACCACTGAGAGCTATGGGAATACTTGGCTCAATAGAGCTGTGACTCTGTCAGCCTGGCTACAGTGCTGAAAAGAAACCTGGGGTTGTTCCTATTTTCCTTTATTAATGACGAGTAGTACGCTGCTCTAGCATTACGGAGGGCCTTCCTATAAGTTTTAAGACTATCTTGCCAAATTAAACGAGAATTTTCCACTTTGGTGGAACGCCAATTCCTCTCAAGTTTCCACGATATTTGCTTTAATTTGCGAGTTTCAGTATTATACCATGGAGCTAACCGTCTTTGTTTTATTATTTTCTTTTTTAGAGGGGCTACAGAGTCGAGTGTCATTCGCAGCGAGCCTGCAGCACTATCAACAAGATGATCGATTGGGAGGGACTGAAATTAGCATAGGAATCCTCCGTTACTTTGTGACTTGATAATGAATTTAGAGCTGATGGAATCGCATCCTTAAATTTAGCTACAGCACTATCAGACAGACATCTTGTATAGAAATTTTTGCCCAATGGCGTGTAGTTCAGCAATACAAACTCAAAAGTTATCAAACAGTGGTCGGACAAAGAGGGATTCTGTGGGAACACCACTAAATGTTCAATTTCAATACCATACACCAAAACAAGGTCGAGGGTGTGGTTAAAACAGTGAGTCGGTTCATGAACACTCTGAGAGAAGCCAATGGAATCTAACAGAGAGATAAACGCAGTACTAAAGCTGTCATTCTCAACGTCCACATGAATATTAAAATCCCCTACAATAATAACTTTGTCCGTTTTAAGGACTAAAGTTGACAAAAACTCTGCAAATTCAGATAAGAATTCAGAATACGGGCCAGGTGCTCGGTACACTATAAGGAAGAGAATTGGTTGCAGTGATTTCCAACTTGGGTGCGAAAGACTAAGAACAAGGCTTTCAAATGAGTTATAATTTAGTTTAGGTTTAGAGCTGATTAGTAGGCTAGAGTCGAAGATAGCTGCAACTCCACCTCCTCGGCCTGTGCCTCAAGGAATGTGAGTATTAATATGACTGGGAGGGGTGGATTCATTTGGGCTAACATATTCTCCATCACCCAGCCAGGTTTCAGTAAGACCAAATAAATCAATATCATAATGTGATATTAGTTCATTTACTAGTACACCTTTAGAAGAGAGCGATCTGATGTTTAAGAGTCCACATTTAACTCTCCTATTCGTTTGCACTATTGCTCTTGTGGTTTTAATTTTTATGAGGTTTTTATGCACAGCTCCTCTTCTGTTTACCTTTGATTTAAATAATTTCAATGGTTGGGGGACAGAGAAGTGTGTTAGACTGCGACTCTGCGTAGGGTTTTGGGTGGGTAACTGCTGAATTAGAAGGGCAGAGAAGTGTGTTAAACTGCGACTCTGCCTCCTGGTCTCAACTCTGGGTTGTCATGGATTTGGTCCACTAATAAACTTGGCCAGATTTCTAGAAATGAGAGGTGCTCCTTCCCAAGTGGGATGGATGCCGTCTCTCCGGATCAGACCAGGTCTTCCCCAGAAAGTCTGCCAATGATCAACAAAGCCCACATCGTTTGCTGGACACCACCTCGACAACCAGCGGCGGAATGACGACATGCGGCTATACATGTCATCACTGGTCAGATTTGGCAGGGGTCCAGAGAAAACTACGGTGTCCGACATTGTTTTTGCATATGTACACACCGACTCAACTTTAATCTTAGTGACCTCCGATTGGCGTAACCGGGAGTCATTACCGCCGAAACTTACGCCGCTACTTGAGTAGCTCTAACTTCTTCACCAAATTAGAAGAGTAATTTGCTAATGAAAATGTAATTTCATAATCAATACTGTTGTCAGCACAACAGTCAACTTGAGGAGTGCTCCTCAGCAGTACCAGACTTGGAAAATGTGCCAGATGAAGTGAACCCTTTTCCCCTCTTATGTGGCTTAGTGTGAGATGTAAAGGTGAGTATTTTTATAAATAAATGTTGCATTCATGAATGCTTAACTTTAAACATAATAAGTAACAGTCTTTTTTCTTCTGTAAGAATGCTATTTCAGTGAAGGTGGTAGTTAAGTGTTTTAATTTAACTTTTTTAAATCTTTGGTTCACCAATATACAGTCTATTGGAACTTGATACGTGCAAAGCAGCAAATATTATATTTACAGAGTGTAAAAATGTCCTTGTGGTGTTAAGTAATTGTGATTCTTCATATACATCACTTTACAAATTTCTACAATAATCCTCAAGGGTGGGTTCACACATAAAGGTCCAGTCCCTGAATCAAACTACTAAAAGGAAACTACCAATGAATATGTCATTTAAAATACTACTCATTTATTATTATTGTAAATGTATTATTGTTATTATTTATAATATTTCATATTTATAAATTTTATTACAAGTAGGTTTTCACTTTTGCTACACTATTTGTAATGATAAATTTGTTGCCATAAACACCTACTAGTTAATTCATTCAAGTTCATGTTTTATTACTTAATAAAGTCTTTAAATCAATGAAAAACCTCCTCCAATTATTAGTCAAAAACACACAACGGAAGGATGTACGCACCCCTCTTATCACTTACATACACATATTTACGGTTGGGGCGGGACCGGATACACCCCTCTTATCAGATACATACACATATCCGGTATGGGGGCGGGACCGGAAGTTGCTGTCAAAATTAGTTTTATGGAATGTCATCTATATTTCTCTCTCACAATCTAACAAGTTATCAAAGGAACATTTTCTTTTGGTCATAAAGCAGCAAAATTGATGTTGTGATATAATGTAGAAAAATGTGTGTCGTCACTGTATAGTGAATTATTTTTTAGAATTGCCAAAAGTGTTTGCAAAAGGTGCAAGCAGTGGAAACGCTAACACCAGCACGAGGCTTAAAGAACATTCATATAATTTCCGACACAATATCCTACATTGGATATGTACATCTCATGCACCAACAACAAAAATCAAATAAATGAAAGAATACACACAACCAACCGAACCATTTACGTATGTAATTACATAATGTGGAAGAAACCTTCCATTCACTTGTTTATCACTGGAGTGGTTTTTTTTCTATTTTCATGCACATCACTGTGTGCAAACCTTTGAGCTACTCATCCAGGAAGACAGCCTCTGAGAAGCTTTCTTGATCTTACATGTGAATTCAATTTACCAGACAAACCCCCATCGCAGACTGAGATATTGTCAAAGGTGTTGAGATAAGCCCAATGGGCTGCTGACAGATTGAATCAGATTGGATTGTTAAATAACCTGTCTGAGATTTCCTGAGTTCTGTTCGTCTTTGGTTCTCACTCTCAGACTCTCTCTCAGGCTCCTTATTAGCCAGCCCACAAACTACTGTTTTAGTCCAACCTTGTTGTAATGATATAAAACCTTGTTCTGAATGTCGATCTTCAGAAGAGACGTCACGACTGCTGTGAACTCTCTCTCTGCTGTGTAGTAAATTGCATAAATATTCTTTGTGGATATTTAGTGTAATAGAATATAACGCCAGTCACCTGCTGATATCCAACAACAAGGCAACAACATGGAGAGAAGCAAAATAAACCTGTTATATCCCCAAAATACAAAACGATATGAAAAGTGTCTAGGTCATAACTAGACAAATGATAGCTTTGTTTATAGAGTCAGTGGGTTAAGCATGATCTTGTGTTTCAGAGGCCCAGGGTTATCAGTATAGCAGTTACCACTAAAACACAATTAAAAGTTTAATTGTAAAGTATCAAAGGTGGCTCTTGCATGCTTACATCATCTTGTCTTCCAGAAGGGCCTTGTGTCAAAATCTTCTCCTGGTACTTTAATATTTCAGTTTACTTAGTGCATAGTCTTAAACCAACTTGTGTTTAATCAAAGTATGGCAAAATACAAACTCTGTTTGTTTTTACATGACATGTTATTTATACAAGATGTGATTTTGTGCCACATTACATTTTTTTATTATCAAAAAAGGCTGGAAATGTCGTTTTTTTATACAGTTTAAAATACGTAAACTATAAACGCACACCTCCACGAAATGAGAGAGAGGGTGGGAGATAAAGGAGGATGTGAGGAAAGAGAGAGAGAAATGCATGAGTAGTGACAGAGCGAGGGAGAGAGAGACAGTTCGTTAACAGAGAAGAGTCTCGGGCTCCAGGACGGACCAGGCAGTCTCTGGAACAGTTTACCTAGACTACGGACTATGAACCGGGTTGCTATCGACGGAGAGGCGGGGGTCAGGCTGGGAGTCTCTAACTCTCTCCTCTCTGCTTCATGCCCCCTTCCCCTCCTGTGAAGACAGCGGAGGAACTTCACCGGCAGCTCAGGAGCAGCGCGGCCGGCCGGGACTCTCAGGCTGTCGGAGTGTGTTTGAGGGAATGCGGGAGAAAGATGTGGGGCGACCGCTGGTGACCTGAAATTCCTTCCCTTCCTGGCTGCTTCGGTCAGGACCTTGCATATTCAGCATAATGCCTCAGTTTTCCACCACCGGAAAACCAAGTAAATTCAGTCAGAAGCCGCAGCGGGAGCGGGAGCTGGGAGCGGACGCAGCGGGCAGGATGCGGACTTTGTGCCGCGTCTGAGCGCAGCGGTCTGCGGAAGGACGAGCTGGATGTGCAGCAGCAAGACTTTCTGCGTTCCCGAAGGTAAGAAAACTATAAATTAATGCAGTATGTACTGGTAAAAATGTATTTTTAACCTAGAATTTCATTTTATTCCCATGTTCAAATGTTATGGGAATGTCTTGTTCAGGGTGAACTTATTCCTGTCAAAACAATTGTCAGAATAAGCAGTTACAGCCAGAATAAATTGGAAAATTGTACCAATTTTAGTACAGTTTACTTCATTGTAATAAACGTACAGGACTACATTTCTTTCATCAGTAGGCTACAATCAACAACAATAATAAATAAACAACAATGTAAAAGCAAAAATACAGGGAATGTCCTCATGAATTACAGTATAGTAGTTACTTGAAATGGACTGCACTCTCTCAAGGCTCAAACCAAATGAACTACCCGCCAGTTTATTTCCAAACTAGGACAGTGCTGCTAAACAACAAAGGCAGTCTTCTTTCATAGAGGCTACCTTTTGCAAGAGCACATGAATAAACCTTACAAGATTGATGCCAAAGTCCCTGCTGACAAAAAACCAGGTGAGGTCGGGTCACCATAATTGGACTCAGTTTGATGCCTTGTTTGGCCCCCCAAGGAACATTACATAACTATTGAACTGCCTTGGCCACAAATCAATGCAATCTGTCAATTGGCTGCTGCTGCCTGGTGCCATTTCATTAATCATCACTACCACCCAGTTAACAACAACTAATAATACATGATCATCCCTTCATTTACAGGGACTCATAATGCAGCGGTATAGGCAGGTTTATTGATATTTGTCTTGAGTTTACCTCAATAATGAGGCTTTGGTTTGTGATGCTGTTGAGGAAATCTCTCCACTTTGTTTAAATTGTATGACCTTGTGCGCATAATAGCACCTTTCCTCATTGCGAGGCCCACATCGATCTTAGTTTGCAAGGAATTTGTCTCATCTTATCTCTGCTGACAGGCTGCGTTCATCACCGTCCAGCACTCCTCCTCTCCTCCAGCACAGCTAAACTTCAGGAGGCAAGGGAAAAGAGGGAGGCAAAGTCTAATTTAGCAATAAATGTGAATAATAATGAGGACTAAATAAGTAAAAAAAATAGTAACAGTTACCACATTAGGCTTTGTATCAAGTATTGTGATAATAATATCTGACACACCATCTGACACCCCGTTTTGGTAATTCCCCCTAAGAATGAGTCTTTCCTTTAACATATTCATAGCGCTCACCAGTCGTCTCCTTAGCTCACCTTACACCTCATTTCTCACAAAATGCTTTTGGCTGCTGTGTTTTAAATGGTCTTTTTGTCAGTTTGTTCACGTTCATGGCTATCAACTGTTGAAAGAAAAAAATGTGAATCCTCTTAGTGTATGTTTTCATTTTAGATTAGAACTCACTTTAGGAAATCTGCACGTACACTTGTTAAACTTGTTTTTCCCATAATTCTATCACATCCTTGCTCTTGGTATTTTTTCAGATATCATTTTGCTCTAGCTGCGTGTCTGAGGAACATGTAACAAATGTATAAGTCATTTGTATGCACACTGCTCTGCTCCCCCAATTGTCTCACTTTGCATTTGTGGGGTAGAAAGGGAAAATAAATCATTTGGTTGGCTTTAGTGGAAAGCTTACATTTTGAGGACTGATTTTCCCATTATTCTTATTTTGCAACAGGTTTCTGGATCCAAATGTCAAGTTTGAGAGAAGCTTTATTGTTGCAGAACCAGCGGTGTGTGATCTGAAAAGTAAAGGAAGCAAGGAAGAGGACGTCCAATGATAACCCTCCTGTGTGTTGTACATGGCTCTGTCAGCGCTGAGTACCATGAAGAGAGCTGTTTCTGGTGGTAAAAGAGAAGAGAGGGTGAAAATGTGATGTAGCTTTACTAATGTCTGCCAGCTCAATTATGGACAGTGGCTGGTGAAGGAATCATATTGCCTAATGAGACCATTGCTCTTGTGTTGGGAAGCTTAGGACAACTAATTACCAAGGGATTACTCAAGAACTTCTTCAGCACCAGGCTGGACATGGTGGTGTTATTAAGCCAACCGCCAAAATCTAATGACTGGTCTGTTGGATTTTTTTTAATACTAATTTCTTATCATTTTTTCTCTGATTTGGTGTTTGTATTTTTTCTGATCCATTTGAAATGGAGATACAGTGGCGTTTATGGAATAAGGACTGGGCCTCCTTTATAAGGCCGTGGATACCTATACTGTTAGGCCTTCACCTCCAGTTCTCCCGGGCCTCCAACTGTCCCGAGGAGTGCCGCTGTGATCGCACCTTTGTTTACTGCAATGAGCGGAGCCTGACCTCAGTGCCTCTGGGAATTGGTGAGGGTTATAAGACCCTGTACCTCCACAACAACCAAATCAATAACGCTGGGTTTCCCTTGGAGCTCCACAATGTGGCTTCCGTGGAAACTGTCTATCTCTATGGCAACCAGCTTGATGAGTTCCCCATCAACCTGCCCAAAAATGTAAGAGTTCTCCATCTGCAAGAGAACAACATTCAGACCATCTCCAGATTGGCGCTGGCGCAGCTTCTTTGGCTGGAGGAGCTGCATTTGGATGATAACTCCATTTCTACTGTAGGGGTGGAGGAAGGAGCGTTCCGCGAAGCAGTGAGCCTGAAGATGCTCTTCCTCACCAAAAACCACCTTAGCAGTGTGCCTATTGGTCTTCCAGATGATCTGAAAGAGTTGCGATTGGACGAGAACCGGATTGCAGTTATCGCAGAGGAAGCATTTAGGAATGTCACCCGCCTGCACCGTCTCCTGTTGGATGGGAACCTGTTGACAGATGAAGGGATTGCACCAGGGACCTTTCAGGACCTGGTCACCCTGAGGGAGCTGTCCCTGGCCCGCAACTCACTCACATACCCTCCACCGTTCCTCCCAGGGGAGGTGCTCGTCAAATTAAACTTTCAGGAAAATCAGATAAACCAGATCCCTGTCAGGGCGTTCGCAGGGTTGCACAAGCTGGAGAGGCTGGATATTTCCAACAACCAGCTGCAGTCATTGACACAGGGGGTCTTTGATGGCCTCGTCAGTCTCAGACAGCTCACTGTTCGTAACAACCTTTGGCTGTGCGACTGCAGCATTAAATGGGTGGTGTCATGGCTTAAATCTCTGCCAGCCTCGCTCAATGTGCGCGGCTTCATGTGCCATAAACCTGAGAAGTTCCGGGGCATGGTGATCAGGGAGCTGAGTGCTGAGCTGGTCCAGTGCCCGCAGACCACAGTGACGGCACCCCTGCCCACCTCACCAGCTGACACCACTCTGATCCCATCCCTGTTATCTTTCACAGACTCTCCACTGATCTCTCAGTATGTGTCCTCCTCCTCCTCCAGGCAACCCTTCCCCACATCACCCACCCTCTACCCTATCTATTCAACCAGAGAGGGGGGGTGAGGACTAAGCAACCTCTGGACCCCCGGAGGGAGACTTTGCAGGTCACGTTTGCCATACTGAATGGTTCGGCTATCCATGTCAGCTGGGTGGCTGCATTTCCAGTCACTGCCTACAAGGTGACCTGGGCCAGGATGGGCCCCAGTCTGACAGGGGACACCGTCAGGGAGAGGATAGTGGGTGGGGATCACCGGTGGATCCGACTGGCTAATCTTGAGCCAAAATCCACATATCGGATCTGTGTAATTCCCTTGGATGCATTCAATAATTATCGGCCCAAAGACGATACTGTGTGCACAGAGGCCATGACCACACCAGCGACTTTCAGCACTGACAACAACAAAAGACCATCAGGGCCTGAGCAGGCCACACAACAGGAACCCAGCTCACCTTTCTTGTTGGCTGGGCTGATCGGTGGGGCTGTAATCGTGGTGCTGGTGGTACTCCTCAGCATCTTCTGCTGGCACATACACAAGAAGAGGCGTTCCAAGTCCTCCATCAAGTGGAAATACAACCGGGGTCGACGAAAAGATGACTATTGCGAGGCAGGCACCAAGAAAGATAATTCCATCCTGGAAATGACTGAGACTAGCTTCCAGATAGTCTCACTCAACAATGAGCAGCTCCTCAAGGGAGATTTCCACATTCAGCCTATTTACACCCCTAATGGGGGCATTGGCTTCCAAGACTGCCCCCTTGGGAACAACAGCACAGTCTACTGCAAGAACAATGCTCAGGATGCAGATGTTTGTTGCACATGATAATTTTAGAGAGCATCAGGAGACTTTTTACTGACAACTACCCACACTTTACTGGGCACTATACAGTGTTAATATTATTTGAAACCCCAGTGTCTTCAAGAAATGTAATTTATACAACTAAGTGGACAATATATTTTATATAACAACATCAGATTTATAAGTTATTGGTTATTGGATTTGTGAATTTGAGTTATGTGCACAAAAACATTGATTGATTGATTAATAGTGAAGGATTTTGAAGTCATTGTATGCTGTAACCATAACAGACACAGAATCTACACTGTAGCAGCAGTGCATCACAAGAGTACCGAAACCAGCTGGTAGAATTCTGTATGACAAAAGGGGAAAAGAGACAGGCACACATCTGCCACACTCACCACTAGAGGGCATAGTTTTCTGGAAATCATATAGTCCACCACACTTTTCCTCTGACTTGTTTTAATCAAGTCATCACAGTAATATGGCACATTTGTTTAATTGCCACTACACTTAGTAGAGATGCAAATCATTAGATTCCAGCTCTAGGAAAAGGACATATTTTTATGCAAATTTTATGAATTTCTCTCGGCTTCAAAAGAAAATTTAAAGGTCACACTCATTAAACATTCACAGAAAGTGGCAGGCCGCTGTGCTTTCACCTGCTTTTCAAGATAAATACATTATCGCAGTTAAGGGGTCATGTTAATAATGCTAGCTGTGTTTGATAGTGGGTGTCACAGAGTGAGCTGCAAAAAAGCACATCCGCCCATGTTTAACCCATTAAGAACCAACCCTTTCCCTTTGTTCAGCAAAAATAATGTTATGGTAAAACAGTATATATTTGTGCCTTGAAGAATTCCGCTTACAATGTCTTTTGAATCCTTGTTTTTGCACAACAGGTGTACTGTATATACATTCATTGGAATTGTTGTTGAGGAAACCTCTTGCTCTTGATTATTTATTTACATCATTACACAATTAATTAAAAACATATCTCAAATAATGAATTTATTCCTCATGATCTGTTCCGGAATGATCACTGACTCAGACTGTTGTATACTTATCTAGGAGAGCTCAGTGATAGGTCTGTTTGGAGAGGGAAGCATCCCATTGCTCAAAAGTCACAAAGACATTACTGTGGGCATGCACATGAGAACAAAGCAGTCAAACAATAGTCTAAATCTGTGGCATATTAGATTATTTTGTCCCTGGATAAAGAATTAAAGGAGCATTTATGACATGTAAAGTGTCATTATAGTAAGTGTGACTTCAATTCGGTCATTGCTTAGAACCATTACGTTTGTGTCAGATAAGCTATACAATCTTCAATCAATCCACTACAAAGACTTAATGACCTTTAACCTCTAGCTTCCATAATCTGAAACTCTGAGAACCACGCAACTTTCAGGTTCTGCCCCCCTGCAAAGCAGAATATAAATATACATATATTTCCATAAACTTAATCAAAAAGGCCACACCGCCAGGCCACACCGGGACAAACTTTGCACTGTACTCACCTTTTTGGGAGGCGAGTACAGTGCAGTTATGGGACAACAATGGATAAAATATAGATTTTCTTTTACATTTACTACTTGATGTTTAGACATCAGTATTGTTAAATTAACAGAAGAGCCAAACCTGTAGTACGAAGTCAAAATAGTGGAGCAAATGGAGATTAACTCAAGACCAGCTCCCGGTATGCTGACCACCTCTCCAGAGACATCTGCGTCCTTCAGTACAATTCACTGCCCTGAAGTATGCACCAGCAGCTGCTGGCTCCACTCTCTTTGCTCCATACAGTGACAAAAAAATGACGTGATGGGAAAATAATTATAGTGAAGCGACTCTTTGATAATTATTGAGTTTCAGCTCCTACACTCTTTTTGAAATATCTGCTAGATTTGTATAAAGTTTGGTTCAGTTTGCATTGTCCTGCATTGCAATTGAAGGTTATGAACTGTACAGTAACTTGTAACTAATGGCAACAGATCCATATTTCTTGTCGCTGAAGCAGACATTGGATCTTTCTGTGTTGGTGTTAATAGATACACACTGAGGCAGGAACAAAAGACAGGAGAGACTGCTGCAAAAATATTCTAGCTTCCCTTTAAAACCATGTTCTTAGCTAGTCAGGGGCCAAATCTTGAAGGATATAACAACTTGGGTCTTTTTTTATCTTGTTAATTGCTGATATCTTAAAAGAAGTCCAAGAAAACCGAGAAAACCCCAGGTTGTCAAACTGTCTGTAATCCATCACATTTTACAGACAAGCTTTGACTGACTAAGTGGTTTAGATAATCTGGATAAACTGTTCGTTTACAACCTGTCTGATTGTCTGACTGCTTGTGTTTGTTGACCTGAGGGATTTTTAGTTTTAACAGTGTCACATTTTCTGAAATCTCAGCAACACTTTGGTGAGTACAATGTCACAACATAAGTGACATGGTATTAGAATTGAAATAAATACTCCCAAAATGACCTGGAATTATCATAAAACTGCTATGGAATTATCTTAAAACTGCCAATGTAAAGGATAGGTTCTTTTTTTTAAGTCTGTCTTAATACAACACCCACATGTGGTAAATGTATATGTTGTGATAGTTATTTGTCATTGTAATCATTCTTCCTGCCCATACTGGCCGTAAAGCCATAAATCCCTTTTAAACTGTAAAATCTACGGCTCTGTTTTGTGCAAAATTGCATCCCAGTATTCAGCTGTGGCTAATGTGAGGCCTCAGCAGTCTGTGAGTAGGTATCTTTGTCTAGGCAGAACAAACAGCGTATTTCAATACTTTTATAAGTGGGCTTCTGTAAGATTGTGACGTACACCAAGCATGCATTATGTGGTTGCAATAACCAGCATCAGTCGACATGAACAAAGGTGGGATAAATTCATTTTTTAATTATTTAATTATTATCACTGATTTATTTATTAAACTGACCTAATGATCTCATATTTCAGTCATCTGCTTAAAACACCATCTGCTCATTGACAATATATTAATAACACATTTTTCAGTTTTGACATTTTATAGATCAATGATTAATAAACTAATTACTTACATAATTGATAATGAGAAGTGGAAATTGCAGCCCCAGTAATCCTTGCAGGCAATTGAGCCCTTTAAAGTACGTCCACCAAAGTGCTTGTTTTTGCCACTGATAGGCTCTGATTGTTATTACAAGTGTCTGACAACATTATGGAAAGGATCCCTACAGCTGTTCTACATCATTTACAATTAAACAAAAAGGATCTTTAACCCCTTAACGCCGATTGTCGCAAATTCGCATCACACCTCTTCCTTTCAGACTGCAGCTGAGATAGCATTTGTATTCCCCAATCGATACATACTTGGGAACCTTTAGCAAGCCCTGGTTTCTCATTTATGCCTGTTGTCGCTAATTTGCATCATACCTACATCATACCTGAATTTATATCTGTTCTATGTTCTATGGACAAATAACAATTTCCACTTAATTTAACATCAACCTGAAAGCAAATGAAAACAATTTTTTTTTTATTGTAAATAAATTCAGGCGTCAAGGGGTTAAAAAAGGTCTCTCTCTACAGGGATCCTTTCCATAATGTTGTCAGATGTGTAAAATAGGCCTTAGTAGTAAATGATTAGCAGTCATGATGTGATGTATTTAGATTTAGTTAACACAGTCATATCACACCTTCAGCACAAGACAGCAGAGAAGAGTGATGTCCGGTATTTCAGCTGGGTCTGATGGATGTATCACATGATGGATGTTAATTAACATGTGCAGCAAAGATTGCGAAAGGTAATGCAATCAGTAGAAGTAAGTCAGGTGAAAAGATTTACTCTCCATCTGTGCAAATTACAATGGTCCTGCTGTGGCCCGTGGTGTTTGGTTGTTGGTAATGAATAAGCTGCATTCCAGTCTGATTCTCCATCATCAGAAGCTCATGCCCCCTGAGGAAGGAACATAAAGCTTGGTGTAACTACAGTGAGCCTTACTGACTACACCGCAGTTTGCTAGTGAATTGGTGGGAGTTATGCGCAGCAACACAAAGGAGGTTAACCCAAGGGGGTAAGCCAGGGATCGAACAGTGAAGCCAACCAAAGCCTGCATGGAGGGATCCATGTAGGCCCAAAAATGACGTCAAATCCCTGTGACAGCCCGTCGCACATGAGAGATGTATTGTTTGGATTAAACGTACTCGGCCAGCATTGAAGCTGCGTTGGTGTTTGGCAGGTGAGCCTTATAGGTGGGTTGATTAAACAGTGATGATCCGAGTCAGACAAACATGCTGAGCCGTGAAACTTTATGTTGGTGCAGCTATGCAGCTACCAGAATTACGGTGTTTCTGCCGTTGTTCTACGTCATTATACCACGGTTATGCTGCGCGATCATGCTTAGGAAACGCTGGTGCCAACAGGAAGTAGCCCTGTAGTAGTGTTTTATTGGTCCAAAACTGGCTTAACTGCTCTCCATTCAAATCAGCAGGGTGACTTCGTCCAGTAATATACTGTCTATGGGTTAACCTTATCTGCTAGCACAAAGGTTAAATGGTCAACATTGTGATGGCCTGTGGGATCTTGTGTGGGTGTGGCCAATGGAAGGTGAATTGCTGAGGCTGATTGCAGTAACTTGGGGCACCTGGGCCCACTGCCCGGTGGTGTATTTGTAACTCCTCATTCTCATTCTTCAGTAAGCTTCTGTGCTGAGGTTACAGACCTTCCTGCTGACTGACTCCATTTTGTTTCTCTCCACAGGTTCCACATTTGGTTTGGTTTCTTGAAATGCTGTTTTAGTTGTATTTATCTTGTTTCGCCCTCTCACGCACACCCATCTATCATCCTGCCCTGACACTACTGAAACCACCGATGTTCATATTCCGGACTTTAACAACATTAATTTGGTTTATTCTAGTTTAAATACACATATTTTGTTAAATTTTTGCCATGATGTGTCTCCGTTTGGTTGTGGCCACTTGAGCCAGGTCATAACAATTTGCGTACAATCACTGACTTAAGTTTATGAACACATCCTGTGACGGGTAAGGGGCTTCAGGGGGGTGTCCACATATTTAAGACTAACCTAGATAGATACTCACACTACAGTCCTAGAAATGCAGTTACTCCGTGAAAGCCCAGGGGGTCTCATATGGAAGGATACCTTCTCCTTCATATACTGACGCTTTGTCAGGCTTTCTAAAAGTGTCGGTATTTGACACCCTGGGCAGGCTACGTTGACTACCCAACTTAAACATCTGGCCAACAAGTGCAAGGATCTAGCAGAAACAACTCGTACCATCAACTTTATGGTCCAGTTTTTGCTACAACTACTGGAGAACAAGCCCATACTGGATAATGCTCATTGTTACTTACATAGAAAAGCTAAAAATGGCCACCCACTTCATCCATTTATGGTCAGAGTTCAGGTCTGAAGCTGGATTCTGTCACTAGCCAGAGAGGCTGGTCCTCTCATGCACAGCAAGATGATTTCTTTTTCCCTGATTCTGCTGGAATGTTTACATCTGCTACGTAGGGGCTTTCTTTTAGTTAGACCTGGTTTAATTAGCTCTTTGTACTGTAAAGCTTTTTTGTACATTATTATTCAGTATTTTTGTAATTCTGTGTACTTTACTTATGGTCCTTTATCACTACAATCTGTACGTGTCTTTGTAACCCTAACCCTCCTCTCTGGCCCAGTCAAGACAATTATTACCATATATTGAAAGGCATATTTAAAGCATTTTTAAATGTGTTTCTTGTAGGTTGTAACCTACTTTATTTCCATCTGCTGCGTTGTTTTCCATTTTCTGTTTATGGCACAATTGTTGTTGTATGTTGATGGTGGTACAGTGTAGTACTCTTAAACTGTGTGTATTTTTTTAATGTAATTTTAATTGTGGTGTCATTGTTTCATATTTACGGTGGCCCATAGGTCTAAGGCCAAATACAAAAGCCAATAACACGAACACAAACGCCACAACATGAACACAAACGCCACAACATGAACACAA